TTTTTTTTTTTTTTTTTTTTGGGTGAAATTCTCGCTTTTATGCATATTGCCTTGTCCCGAGTGGTCATTTTTGACATTTCCACAGAACATTGCCAGGCTGACGAGCTGCATAGTGGACCATGAGAGGCTGGGCACAATTCAAACAGGATTTCACAGTCACATTCCCAGACGGCTCTCTCTCTCTCTGGAACAAAATGGGATTAATAATTTGCATTTTAACTCTTTATCGACAGGAAGGCTACCCTGTTCTGCTGGCTCAATGGCCCTTTCTGAAGGTGTGAAAATGTGAACACATGTGCAAAAAGTCGCAGACAGGCAGCCATAAAGCTGCATGAGTTGGTCAGATTTCTCGGCGGGCATCATTTGCAGGGGTGGTGGTGTGTGGGTAATCTATTTGGTTTGTCTGCATACGTGCATATTTTTTTCCGTGTGTACAAATCAGACATCCGCAGAGCCTGACAGATTGTGTAAATGTGTGTGTGTGTGTGTGTTCTTCCTCGGGTCAGTGAGATTTCAATGAAGCCATATATCAAGTTTTACTATGCACCAAAACAGCCTCTGTCCTCTTTACTTTGCAATGTCATCTCAGAAAACAAGCTCACATTGCACTCCCTGAAACACACGCATGCATCCAGTCCCACAATGCACTGGGAGTTACGCAACCTGCTGACTGGACAGGAGTGGAGGTAGTACTGATGTCTTTGAATTGTGTGTGTGTTAAAGGGTGAAGGGTGGGGTAGGTTGGTTGGTTGGAAACAGGGACGCAGAGACGGGGACCGAGCAGAAATGAGAGGGGGGGCAGAGCAAGAATATTGAGCATGGCACTGGTGCAAGCACTATTGTGACAACAGATGAATTGCAGCAGCAAAGACTTCCAATTTCCCTGTTTAAGTGTAGAGCAGGAGGCAGAAAAAAAAGACAAAATATAGAAGAGGAAGTTTTTAAAAAAAAAGCACAATGAAGCGCAAAGGAGAGATGGAATCAGGCAAAGAGAGAAGCGGCAGTAATGAGAATGCATGAAAGTGCAAGGAGAAAGGAGAGTGGGCAAAAGACTAAGACGTGGGAGATGGAAAGAGAGAGAGAGAGACAGTGAAAGAGAGAGAGAGAGTGAGAGAGGAAGCAAGTGACTTTTCATCTGTGACTGACGGTTTCCATCTGACTGCATCTCTGCCTCCTTGTCTGCATTAAAAAAAGAAAAAAGAAAAGGTCTCCTTGAGCATTTGGGATTCTGAGTGTGTGTGTGCATGTATGTGCTGTTGGTTCAGGCCTTATTTGCTGTCCTTTTCTGCATCCTGTTGTTTCATATTATTCTCTGAACAATATTTGTGACTGTAATTATATATGTGCGTGTGTGTATGTGTGTCTGTGCGCGCGCGTGTGTATGTGCGTGTGGCTGCACAGAGGTTAGAGGCACTATCATTCATCACATTAAAGAGAGCCGGTGGGGGATGGGACTGAAGTAAAACTGGACAGCAAAAGTTATTATGCAAAGACTCAGTAGTAAATCTTTTTGTGTGCACGTGGACGCTGTACTGTATGCGTATGCTTGTGTGTCTTCTTGTCTCTGTGGGTGCCTAGATTGTGTTTTTTGTGTTACCGCTGAGGGTCTCTCTTCATTAAGCAGCCAGGCGACAGGAGTGCAGAGTGTGTGTTTTCACACACCGCTGCTCCGATACAACTTGAGCCACTTTTTCACTTCCCTTTTTTGGCCACAACCACTTTCTGTATCGAATGATTATTCAAACTGCTCTCTCTATGTTGTTTTCCCCCTCACATTTAAACTCCCTTTCTTTCTTCTTATCTACATTTGCAGATCTTGAGTCTTTATGGTACTGAATAATTGTAAAGAATAGATATAAAGGAATGACAATTTCAGACCAATCCATTCATTCATTTTCCAAATTTCAGACGTAATTAGCTAAGCATT